AGCTTGATTCCTACTTGGAATCAATAATAACATTTTTGCCAGGCATGGTGGTGCACACCTCTAATTCCAGCACTTGGGAAGCTGAGGGAGGAGAACTGTGAGTTCAAGATCAACCTCGGCTACATATTTAAAAATAACATCTTTATGTAATTTTATATAATACATATAATTAATAATTTGTACAATGCTTTGTAAAAGCTGGACATTTTCAAATATATTCAAAGTAGATTGAAGAATATGCTAAAATCCCTTATACTCATCATGCCAACCTCCTGTCTTTACTTTTTATTTTTGGTAGTGCTGAGGATAAAATACAGGACCTTACACATGCTAACCAGGTGATCTACCACTAAACTACAAGCCCAGTCCCCTCCTTTGTTTTTTTCAGTGCTGAGTAAGTATTGAACGCAAAGCCTTTGCATGCCAAGCAAGTGTTCTATCATTGTTATACCCCCCATCCTTTTTTTGTTCTTAACATACTATTCTTTTGTTGTTGTTGATGAAGTTGTCCTACAGAACTTCCTATATTCTAGGTTTGGCTCATCGTATTCCCTTGATGTCTTTTTTTTTTGTACCGGGGATCAAACTTGGGCCCTTGTGCTTGCAAGGTAGGTGGTGGAACCACTGAGCCAAATCCCTGGCTCCCCTTGATGTCTTTTAACACCTTCCTCTACCCACTGTATTTCTTCAAACTGGAAGTTTAAATATAGAGGATTGACTAGATTCAAGTTTTAAAAGATGTTGCAAGAATATTTCACAGTATTATAGCATATGAGTTGTGACCAAACTATGTGGTGAGTGCTTCAATTAAAAAAAAAAAATGATCACGGTAGTTGGGTAGAGTGGCATACACCTGTAATCCCAGCACTCAGGAGGCTGAGGCAGGAGGATTGCCATGAGCCCAATGCCAGCCTGGGATACACAGTAAGTTCAAAATCAGCCTGAACTATATAGTGAGATCCCGTCTCAAAAGAACAACAGAAACAAAACCAAACTAAAAAAATAAAAACCCAAAAATTATTACAGTAAAAGACACATTGTCATCAAACCCCTTCAAACTATTCTCTCTCATTTCGAACATACTTATCCCATTATTGTTGCGACTTTCTGAAGCAGTTCTGGCAGTTCCTTTGTAAGTGTTTTTATGAGGTGTGATAAAAAAATACGGTGACTGCAAGTGGTGACAACAGAAAGGCAGGCTTGTAAAAACATTAAATGTGTCCTCATCCACCATACCTGGTACCATGCAACTTCTACTTCTTTTTCAAAGTCAAAATGACCGTGAAAGGTAAACATTTTGAAATGATTCAAGACAGTGAGGGTGCCACGACTGTGCAACCAAAGACACTCACGAAAGAGGACTTCCAGACCTGCTTCAGAAGGTGGCAAGAACCATGGGATAAGTGTGTTTGAAGCAAGGGACATTATTTTGAGGGAGATTCATGGTAACGTATCTTTTACTATAATAAATATTTTAAAACTTTAAACATTCACTATCTTATCATACCTTGTCCTAAGAGACATATAATAATGGACTGTCCCACTTCTAATGACATTGAGATTTATCAGTGGGTTTAGGTTGTGTCAGCATAAGTCATCCACTAAAGAATTCTCTATCAACCTTTCACCTCATGATTTTAGCAGAGACAGTCATTACCTAGTATGATTGTTTCAGTTAGGGATGAAGAAATTATTCTTTTTATATTTGTACATTTATATTTTTATATATTTTTTTAAAAGATTCTTTACCTATTAGTCTACCACTTATTCTGAAATTCTGTATATATTAAGGACACAAATCATAAGGCTGGATATTTAGCTCAGTGGTGTCGCCACCTGCCTCACAAGCACAAGGTCCTGAATTTGATCCCTGGCACAAACAGCCCATTTGTCCATCAGTTGGAAACTGGATAAAGATGTGGTTTTTCTATAAAATGGAATATTACTCAGCCATAAAGAATGAGAAAATAGATCTATTCATAGGAAAATGGATACATATTGAAGATATACTCCTAAGTGAAATAAATAAGGCACACATGTGTAAATACCGAATAGTTTCCCTGGTATGAATAAACTGCAATAATACATAAGATCCTAATAAGATTACTGACATTGTGAAATGGGAAGAAAGGGGCTAAAGGTGTAGGGAAGGTGGGATGGGTAGGGGAAGGGTAATAAGGGAAAAGAAAAAAATGTGAGATAATGAAAAGATGGAAATAAAGTATTTGTAGATGGAGAGGGGAGGAGGAGGTGAAGGGAAGGCAGGAACAAGGGGAAAAAAATGAGAACCAAGACCTGTCATGTAGAGGTACAAGATCCCAACAATGACTGTAACTGAACTGTATCCCTAAAATGTACCAATAAACTCAATTAAAGCTGAAAAAAAAAAAAGAATTCAATCCCTGGTAAAAAAAAAAAAAGGTAGAAGTTCACAAATCAAAGTCAAAGTCCTTTGTAGAGTGCTGGGGATTTAGTTCAGTGGTTCTCCCACCTGCCTCACAAGCTCAAGGTCCCAAGTTTGATCCCAATATTTAAAAAAAGTACAGCGTTGGTGACATAGTGATGAGTATAGCCGCCTTCCAATATTTTTTTAAAAAGTCCATTGTAGAGCGTTCCCTAGTTGCTAAATGGCAGGACTTTGACTCCTTGGGTACCAGTCACACACTAATGTGTAGCATAATTTCATCTGCCAGCCTGTAAGCTCCCAGGGGTCCCAATTATGTTCTAGGTCTCTTTGTGTCACTCTAATGTCCAGCACAGTGCTTTTAACATAGCAAGTATACAACTAATGTGTAAAATTCTTTAGTTCAGTGACTGTTCAGATGAAAAATCCCCTACTCACATAAACATAAGTGTCAGGATTACAAAATGAAACACACACACACACACACACACATATATGTGTAATACCACAAATTTATTATAATATACAGAGAACAAATCCAAACTTTGACAATTTCCCTAGAATTAGTTTTTAAAATGTTAAAAGAAATAAGGGATAACTGAGGGAATATAATGTTATAATTTTATAGTTATGAAACATTGTAGTATACTTAAGAATTCTCCTTAAAGAATAAAGATTATAAAGTGACAGCTTCTATTAGATATTTAAAAATTTATATTGGCATTTATTTTCAATACAGACATAGGTCCTCAAGAATTCATAGAGCTTTAAGTAATAAACTAATTTTATAGCTTGGCTTTTTGCTTGTTAAGTAAGCAAACCCCAAGTCAATAAAGTCCTGGAAAGTGGGAAGGAACACAGAGAGAAATTCTATTTGACCACCCAGAACCCTGTGAATAAAACATTGCCCACACAAATTCTGTATCTAGTGACATTCATTTGGATCTACTGATAATTACATGGAGAGTATCTCTGCCAGCTGTGATCTGTTTTCATGTAAACACTCTACCTTCTCCATAGAATTGAGAATGTGGTTTCATCACATGTTGCTTTTGGTTCATAGGCAAGTCAAACTCCTCCCTCCGTCATTCCCCCCTCCCTTTTTTCCTGCCTCCCTTCTTTCTTTGCAGGGCTGGGGAATCTAACACAGTGCCTCACTCAAAACAGGCGAGTATTCTACCACTGAGCTATAACTCAGTGCACAAGTCAAACAGGGAGGTTAGGAGAGGTTAAACAGTGTGAGTCAGAACAAAATAAACTCTCCTGTTTTATTTCTTACTTTCCATTTGACCTTTACCCTACTTAGGTCTTTGGGAACTGTACATGTATACAACAGCACCTACCGCACCTTCTCATTTTAGCACAGGCTGAGTATGAGGAACTAAAATAGGAAAACACTGAAGAAACCCTGAGACTTTCACAGTGAAATAAACTAAAGCAGCTATGTCTCTTAGCTGTTCTCTGGTTCTTTATTTTGTAAAAATAGGAAATTTCCCCATTTATCAGCCCTCATCTTTTCAGAATGTAGCAATGAAATCACTAATGGTCACTTAATGGCCTTATAAATTTGGAAAGTGTGAAGACACAGGCTACAAAAATTGACTAGGAGAAAGACACCAAACTAGACAATATACAATCCATGAAAATGCAGACTTTGTTGTACAATAAGTACTACTGCATGTTACACAATAACCTGGGCCATAAGTACCAATTATTTAAAGTCCTTCACACATAAACAGTCCTTCAAAATTGAATAAAACAAGAAAAAACAATAAGGAAAGACCCACAAATGTCCAAATGTAGCTATTTCTTGGACAAAACTCTACGGATGGGTAGTTTTGGTTCTCTAACAAGAAAACATGAGAACAAGGTAAATTTAGAAAATCACAATTTTAAAGGAAAAAGAAAAGCCCATGCTAAATGAATTTTAGCCATTCATTATCTGGTTTATAGGTTTGAAAAAGGAAATCCAGATCAATTCACAATTCTGGAAAATGCTTTCACATGCAGTGTATTTAATAATACTATATATATATGATACTATCATGAAATCTGTCAGTTTCTCAAAATAGAAGAGCACTTACTTACAGACCAGATATTCTCTTAGATAGTCTATGCTAATTCTCCTAGATAGTTTATGCTACCACCTGTCTCAGCTGTGTGATAAACTACTCAAACCCTATCTGGAAACTGTGCAAAATGAGTGGCCTAAAATTATTTATGATTTAAAAGTACCTACAGTATGCTAATAATATAAACATTTAAGTATGTAACCAATATTTAAATGAGATAATCCTCTAAACCATGATAATATCAGAAAGTGACATCATACAACAATTTTCATGGATACATGCACCTGTTTGCAGATATAAAAATTAATTGTAAAATTGTAATGGCCCATCAAATGAATCAGCTTGTTTCCAAACTAATGTTAACTTCACCTTAATGTCAAGTGTATCAGTATAGTAAGAGAAAGCACTGCTAGTTTGAAACAGTCTGTACAACAAAAGGGTTATAAGAAATTCTTATCAGCAAAATTCCTTTCCTTTTGGGCGGGGTACCGGGGATCAAACTCGGGTCCTTGAGCTTGTAAGGCAGGCAGCAGCACCACTGAGCTAAATCCCCAGCCCATAATCAGCAAAACATTATCACTGATGGCAGCGATTCAAAAGGTCCATTAAAATTTATCATTAGTGATTTAAAATCACAACTTATTAAAAATTCATTTAATGTTTACCCCTGTTAGCACTTTAGAATGGCAACTGAACTCCAGAGTAAATACAGTGTCTTCTGAAAGCAGCCAACAAGTGACAGAGTCAGAATCACAGTTAGAGGTTTACCAGACCTGGCAGACGGGATCTCCTGTACTCTGCAGATCTCTGTCCATGATCAAAATATCTAATATTTTTCATCTCTACTGGATGTCTTTGAAGAGTACTGTGTTGCTTCACATTCTCCTTTTATTGTAACAAAATGTATTAAACCAAAACCTTTCAGTTAGATTTAAAAGCAGCTGAGAAAATTCTGACTGCTCTAGGCTTTTATCAGAAGACTTGTTTGGGAGCTTTAAACTCTTAAATATCAGAAATCCCAATAACTTATCATAAAAATACAAGCTCTTGTTTTTGAAAAAATGTACAAAATGCATTGCATAGGTAAATATCTCGATTGTCAAGGAAGACAGGTATCAGTCTCAATCATGGATTCATGTTGTATTGTATTTTAGTGCTGCTTGTTTTTATAGTTTCCATTTTTCATAGTTTTTGGTGGCCTCTGACCCTTGGTGTAAGCACAGTACCAAAAATGAAGAAAAAGGAGCATAAAAATGCACCCATATGACATAATAATGTACATAAAGACTGGATACTGGTACTTGCAATCCTCCATGAGAAAGATATGGCCCATGTGGATGGTGACAATAACGAACTGGATCTAAAAAAAAATGAAAGAGTGAAAATATTATTTAGACATGAGGCGTTCTTATACATTCGTTTGGCGGGGGGGTTGAGACAGGGTATTACTATGTAGTTGAGACTGACCTGGAACTCACTATGTAGCTCAGGCTGGTCTCGAACTCACAGCGATCCTCTGCCTCAGCCTCCCGAGTATTGGGATTACAGGCGTGAGTCACCACATCCGGCTCTACATTCATTTATAATTTTTGCAGTGTTGAGGATCAAACCTGGGGTCCTGTGCATGCGAGTCAAGTGCTCTACACCCACTGCTCCGAGACCTAACGACTCTTTGCTTACTTATGTTCGTATACTCCTAGCCTGTATCTAAGCTACTGTTGGGCCGGGAAATTCATCTTTTACTAGATTTTTTTTTTCTCATTGAGTTTATTGGTACATTTTATGTCTACAGTACCATTACATTCATCTTTGAATCTAGTCTCTTAGTAGTGAAAATGGATGCTACAGTGTCAAAAATGCAGGCAAAAATTTGGAACCTCTATTTACTTCTGCCAATGTATGGCTCAAAGGGGTCCTATTTAAATGTTCTCAGAGCATGCAATACACAACCAACCATCTTACTACTTAGAAAACCACAGGGCAGGTTGCCTTTGGCAGTGGCTGAATTGAGGACTTGATGCTGATGAAATCTATGCAGGACCACTATCTGTAGCCCAAATTTTCAGATTTCAAGTAATCTCTCCTGCTATTAGAACAAATATGTCGATTTTTGGAAAACAGAAACATTTAAATTAGAGCCCATATTATTTTACAGGAGCCAAAGGATCCCTGGCTCCTCAATCTGCTTCATGTTCTTCATCATCACAGATAAAAACAATCATAGCTGCCAAGTAGAGAGAAGACCAGGGAGGAGTGAGACTGCACTGGCTGTCCTTCCTAGGGCTGCTCTGTCTGCGCACAATCCTACCATGTTTATCTTGTATGCTAAGGTTCAGATGTTTTGGATAAACCCACCCCCATTAAAACGCAAAAATTTAATTTCAGGGGAAATTTCAGAAAAGTAAAAGTCTATAAGTAAATAAAAGTTACCCATAATCCATGTAGTTATAACTATGGCTAAGATTTTCACAGGGTTTCTTTTACTTCATTTCATCATTATCTTCAACTTCACTTGCATTATCTTTTGCTATACCAAGGGGGGTTGGGTGCTGAGGAGCAAACCAAGCCTTGCACATAGTGGGCAAGCACCTGACCACTGAGCCACAACTCAGCTCATCCTGAAGTTATCTTAATGAACCTGTACAAAATTGTGTATGCAGTATAGGTCAAGTCACATAAAGGTTATATGCACACATACGTAAGAGAGAAAAACTGACCAAGAACAAAATGAAACATTTCAGCATTATTACCCCAAGATGGTGGATATCTCTCTATCTCTGCAGTATGAAGAACTGAACCCAGGGCTTCATGCATCCTATAAGCTACGTAAGCATGCTGCAACGCAGCTACATCCCAACCTCCCCATCTTTATTCTCTTTCTCTTTGTCTAATTAGGTTTTCTAATTTATGCAATGAGCACAGACATATTTTTAAATATTTCAGATCTTTCAACCTTTTAAAAGAAAGTAGTAATGAGTGTTTTTTATGACCTTACAGTAGTCTAAAGTCTGATTTAAAATAATTTATTTCATCATTTCCTTGTGGTTGGTCATCTAGAAATTGTTGCCAATTTCAAACATTAAATAACTACAAGGACAATACTCTGATCTTAATTGGGGATCTTTACAGACTAAAACATCAGTCTCTCACCTGGGAGAACACCTTACATGAATGCACCATGTTTCATTTAACAAGTATTAGAATTTTTAATAAAAATTAATCCTCAGGGCCGGGGATTTAGCTCAGCGGTTCAGTGGCCTGCCTTGTAAGCGCAAGGACCCAAGTTCAATCCCCAGTACCAAAACAAAACAAAACAAAACAAAAAAAATTTAACCCTCAACAAGATATCTATACCTAAAGTCATACTTTTTCCTTGGCATCACTGGCAGAATATGAATCCAGTTTTTTTATAGACTGCAAATCTGGAAATATGAGGATGAAAATTCTCCTTTTAATAAAACAAATTAAAAGCAAATCAGCATCTCATACCTACAACTCTTCTTTTAAAAAATGCTGTCTATATATTAGGATTAAACTGAGTGGCTCTGCTCTTACTCTTTTAAACTTTTTTTTTTATTTGAAAGCAGTATTCAAATTCTGTAATACATACATGTTCATATACCATTTTACACCCTTAATCATTACAATCCTTTTACTTACTGGAAGAAAAATTAATTTATTAAGGTAATTTAGAACTAGAAGATGAAATTCTAACCTCTTTTCCTTTTTTTTTTTTTTATTTGCTCTTGGGTAGTCCTGGCCATCAAACTGAGGTCTCATGCATGTGAGCTGAGGACTAACACTGAGCTACGTCCCCAGACCAGCATTTCTACCTTCTAACTTAGTACTGTGCCTGTTGGTCAGCACAAAATGGAGATTATTTTAATCATATTGACAATAATTTATAAGTAAATATATATATACTTGGTGGGGAAGAATGAGAATGAACGAATATATCAAGGACTCTCCCAGGAAGTCGCCCTAGCCCATATTTTAAAAATAAATGTGTAAAATCGTACAGATAGTATAAAGAATGATTTGATTTTTGAGTCTCTTAAATTACCAAATATGCTTTTTTTTTCCAATGGTGTGCCTGACAAAGCTCAAATAAAATATAAACGGTAGTGGTACTACTACCTCTATAGTTTTATAAACTTTATTCTTTAGCTAGATTTCTAATTCACAGTGACAACAAATAACTTACTTTCAAGTACGTTTTTAAAGAAAATTAACTACTCACAAGCTGTAAAGACGTCAAGTGTTTTTTCCACCACAAATACTTCTGGTAGGCTGGTCCCATTGCACATAGCCCATAGTACGTATACATCACTACATGCACAGCTGTATTCACAAAGGCATGGAATGTTCCCAAACCACCTGGAAAATAATGCTGTAATATGAGGGCACTGTTCCTTAAAGTAAGATATATTTTTTGTCTGAACTGAAATTTCAGTATAATCATATTTCATAAATTTTTAATAGGAAAAATACACATATATGAAATATCAATTCTGCTAAACAGCAATCAATCTAGAGGAAACTGCACAATATATTTATTTAAAAATAAGACCCAAATCTTAGAAAATAAATGAGCATGTTTATTAGCTATATCTTACCATTAAACCTCATGATCTAGGTTTACTTTAACAAACTAAATTGAGATACTTCTTAAATATGATATATTGCTTAATAATCAAAATAATTTTAGTGAAGGTTAACATATACAAAGTACATTAATCTTAAATATACAATTTAAGATTATTCACATATATTCATGTATACAAACACTAGCAAGTTTCACACATAAAGTATTCCTAGGATTATGTGCCCCTTCCAAGAATATGCCTCTCCTAAAATAACTTTTATTCTAATTCCTTGTTAGTTTTGCCTGTCATTAAATTTAAATGGAATTATACAGAGTACTCACTTGTGCCTGTCTTCTTTCAATCAACAAAATGTTTTTAAAACTCATGCATGTTGGTGCATGCATACTAATAATTTGTCTTTTACTGCTGTGCAGTATTGTAGCATATTAGTATATCAGTATTTTTCCATTCTCCTATTGAAAGACATTTGAGTTTTTCCATGTAAATCATTATAAATAAAGCTGCAAAGACTGCTTTTATACATGTCACTGTGTGGAATCAAATTCATTTCTTCCCACTCTCAGTAATGTGTATTAAATATTTTTAATGCCACAAAATGTTGGCAGTAAAATCACTGGCTTACTCATTAGTAAGCTACATTAAATGTGCTTTTATCAATTACTACTTTTCCACAATAGACATCTATTAACTGTGAAACCACCCTAGTTAATGCATCCATTTGATTATGTCTTCCTACGTTGGATTTCCTCCTCTAATTTCACCATCTTCATTTAAGAAAGAAGCAAAGAACACTTGAGAATGCGCAGAAAGACCATTTCAATTGTCTTTACCAGTAACAGTAATGAGTAAAAGAGGTAGCAAGGTGTTTAGATGATGATGGGGAGGGGGGCTCCCAGAAATTCTTCCTGAGGATCTCTTTCCAAAGGGCACAATCTAGAAGAATCCATCCTTCCTCCTCCCTTCCTCTTCCCCTTTCCTCCCTTCCTTCCCTCTCTCCCTCTCTGTCCTTCTCTCTCTCTCTAAATCTTGCTACTTTGTTTATGCTGCACTCAAATGATATTCCCACCTCAGTCTCCCAGGTAACTCGAACTATAGGTGCATACCACCACACCAGTAGAAATCTGCCTGTTTTTATGTACAATCTGTGTCAGTTTCATAATGGTGAACTAGAATTTAAAAATTTCTCCAAAATATTCTATTTTCTTAATTCCAGAATTTTTTTGATTCTGAAAGTAAAGCAGAACCTCACAAATTTAATGATTATAGTAGAGCAAGCACTGAATTCACAAACACTATGAATTATAGAAAGTTTCTTTTTTTTTTCTTTTGGTACCAGGAATTGAACTCATGTCCTTGTGCTTGCAAGGCAGGCAGCAGAACAACTGAACTAAATCCCTGGCCTTTTAAATTTTTATTTTATTTATTTTGGGGGGGGTACCAGGGATTGAACTCAGGCCCTTGCACTTGTAATTCAGGTGGCAGCACCACTGAACTAAATCCCTGGCCCCTTATCATTTCTAATATAGTCTTCTAAGGGAAAATGTCATAAAACTGTTACATAGAAATTAATCACTTTTTAATAATTATTTGAAATTGCAGTAATATTCAATTCTTCTAGATACTACCACTGTTAACATACTCCCTTCAAAAAACTTGCTTTACATAGGTCTTTTTTTCTGAGACAGGGTCTCACTTTGTGGTACAGGCTGGCCTTGAACTCACTATGCTGCCCTAGCTGGCCTCCAACTCACAGAGATCTTCCAAACTCAGCCTCTCTCATTCTGGGATTACCAGAGTGTGCCACCATGGCTGCCATTAAATAGTTATTTTTAAGTAAATATTTTCACAAATCCTCAGTTATATAATGCTTCATAAACTTTCTACTCCCGAGTAGAGTACATCAATTTTAGCTAATCCCTTAAATATAATAAATTTAGAAAGGAATTGAATTAATGCAGCTTATTAACAACCTCTCAACTTTTATTTTACAGTTGGATTAATCTTGTTTCCCATGAGAAACTTGAATAAGCAAATTACAGTGCTGTGAAAACACCTTTTCTAGGTTAACTTTATTTTTAAAAATTTTATATGTTAACTTCAATATTTAGTAGTTGTCTACTTCTGAATCAAGCTGCTTCACAAGGGAATAAGCCAAATACCTCCCAAGTCCATTTATGTTTCATGGTAATACATAAACACGGTATCTACTTCAGGTTTTATAAGAAAGTATATCACAACCTTTATCATCACTAAGACATGTCTTCCATATTTAGTAGAAAAGAATCCTAAACACCCTAATACAAGGATACTGTGATAGGAATTTAAAAACAAACTTAATGTAAAGTTAGTGAGCAAAATAAACAGTAAAATTACTGACCAAGATAAACTATCAAATAAAATTAACTTATTTTCTCTAGGGTTATTTTGTTATTTTAATATGGATTTTTCACAGAATAACATTTTAATTAGTAATGCTTTTTATTTTACTCTTTGGAAGGCTTTTCTAATGAAGTATTTTCTAAGTGTGCTTTCTTTACAGTATTGGGTCTGAAAAGCAAACTGAACGAATTAAACAATTAATGGCATCAGATTTTATTCCTTTGGTTTGGAAAAAAATAAAGGAATCACCTGGGTAATTACCATAATTCTCTACATCTCTCAAATAATTCTCCATATCTCTCAAAGGGGTTTTATACATAATATAAAAACCAATCAGAGAAATATGTTCATCAAATTAAAAAGAAAAGTTGGATTGCTATTATCCAAGAGGGGGGTACAAGACACAAACAGGAAATTAAATACTAGATAGGGATCACCTATATTCAAGTTTTTTAAAAGAACAACTTAAATGGGAAAGCCTCATTCCAAGGATGAAAAGCAGTGCTGAATAACACTTGTGGGAAAAGCTCCTGCTGGTGTATTTACCACTCAATGGGTACTGGGAATGCTGAGAGAGTTCACCACAAATCCACACATAACCCTAAGCAGGAATGGCATTGTGAGGCGCACAGAGAGACAGGAAAACATTTTTTTGAACTTGTACATTTTCTAAAGAAGAGGAGAGATTAGGGTGTGGACAAGGAATCCATCACAAGAAGACCATAAACATAATAACATTTCAAAATTGAGGTATATTGTGTTTACATTTTCATTATTGAAAGCATTTTTTTGTTCTTGAAATGGAAGTTAGATTATCAATGCCCTCAAACACAGAAGTTAAAAAAAAACTCTATTGTTAAATAATATTTGTTTCCCATTATAGAACTATCAAATATTCAATACAAAAAAAAAAAACAAAACCCTGGAAAGTAAAGAGAAGGATAAAGAAGGGAAGAGGAATACTTTGTTTCAATATCTTCAAATCATTCATGTGTTATTTTGGAATATTATATATTTTTTTTAATTGAGTTTATTGGTATAATCTAGGTCTACAATACAGTTACATTCATTACTGGGATCCTATACCTTCACATGACACTTCCTGGTTCTCATTTTTTCCCCTTGTCCCTGCCCTCCCTTCACTCCCTCTTCCCCTCCCCATTTACAAACTCTTTATTTCCATATTTTCATTTTTCTCTATCTTTTCTTTTCCCTTATTTCCTTTCCCCTACCCTTCCAACTTTCCCTACACCTTTAGCCCTTTTCTTCCTATTTCACCCTCTTAATTATCCCATTAGTGGAATATTATATTCTAATCTTTTATTCTATTTTTATTTCTCTTCCTTTTTTCAGCGTTTTAATACATACAGTTGCCCCCCAGTATCCACAGGAAATAGTACTCCTTGAGGATACCGAATGCTGGATGTTCAAAGTTCCTTATATAAAATGGCATAGTGTTTGCACATAACTTATACCATCCTATTTTTTTTTTTTTTTTTTTTTTTTTTTTCCGGAATCAAACTCTCGACCTTGCACTTTCGAGGCAGGAGGCGGCACCACTGAGCTAAATCCCCAACCCAATCCCATACACTTTTAATCACCTATAGTTCACTTATAATGCTAAACAATGCAAATGCCATGTAAATCATTGTTCTTGAGGAACCTTTAGGGAATAAAGACCAAAAAATGTATTCAAAAGCATCTTTACTAGCATTCTTTAAAAATGAAAGTCATCCTTAATAGATGTTTATAGAGTATTACACCCCCAAAAATCAGAATATACATTCTTTTCAGCTGCACATGGATCATTCTCCAAGATAGACCACATACTGGCTCACAGAACAGGTCTAAAAAAATACAAAAAAATTGAAGTCATCCCCTGTATATTATCAGATCATAATGCAATCAAACTGGAGATCAATAGCACAAGAAACTATAGAAACTTCACAAGCTCATGGAAACTGAACAACACTCTCCTAAACAATCAATGGATTACAGAGGAAATTAAAGAAGAAATTAGACAGTTTTTACAAATAAATGAGAATGCCAATACAACATACAGGAATCTTTGGGACACAATGAAAGCAGTTCTACGTGGAAAATTCATAACATTGAATGCCCACACTAGGAAAACAGAGCGGGCTCAAATAAACAACTTAACGATGAAACTTAGACTCCTAGAAAAACAAGAGCAAGAAAAACCCAAAGCTCGAACAAGAGAGGAAATTATAAAGATCCGAGCAGAAATCAATGCAACTGAAACTAAGAAAACGATACAAAAAATAAATGAAACAAACAGCTGGTTTTTCGAAAGAGTAAATAAAATCGACAAAGCCTTAGCTAATCTTATCAAAAAAAGGAAAGAAAAGGCTCAGATCCATGCAATTAGGAATGAAAAAGGCGAAGTCACAACAGATCCGAAAGAAATCCAGAGGATCATGAACACCTACTTTGAGAACCTGTACTCTAATAAAATGGAAAACACAGAAGAAATGGACAGATTTCTAGATACTTATGAATTACCAAAGTTGAACGAAGAAGATAAAAACATTTTAAACACCCCAATCACAATCAGTGAAATTGAAAATGTAATTAAAAACTTACCAACAAAGAAAAGCCCAGGCCCTGATGGATTCACTGCTGAATTTTACAAGACATTTAGAGAAGAACTACTACCATTACTCTTCAAACTTTTCAATGAAATTGAAAGAGAAGCTATACTTCCAAATTCATTCCTGGAAGCAAGTATCACTCTGATTCCCAAACCAGAGAAAGATACAACCAAAAAGGAGAACTACAGACCAATCTCCTTAATGAATATAGATGCAAAAATCCTTAATAAGATACTAGCAAACAGAATACAGAGGATTATTAAGAAGATCATCCATCATGACCAAGTCGGATTTATTCCAGAGATGCAAGGGTGGTTCAACATACGAAAGTCAGTGAATGTAATACATTATATTAACAAAGTCAAGGACAAAAACCATATGATCCTCTCAATAGATGCAGAAAAAGCATTTGATAAAATTCAACACCCATTCATGATAAAAACCCTGCAAAAAATTGGAATAGATGGTCTATACCTCAATTTAATAAAGGCTATTTATGAAAAACCATCAGCCAACATCATATTGAATGGCCAAAAACTGAAAACCTTCATGTTAAAATCAGGAACAAGACAAGGATGCCCACTATCGCCACTTCTCTTCAATATAGTTCTGGAAACATTAGCCACAGCAATTAGACAAGAGAAAGAAATTAAAGCAATAAAGATAGGAAAGGAAGAAGTTAAACTATCATTATTTGCTGATGATATGATACTCTACATTGAAGATCCAAAAAACTCCACCAAAAAACTTCTAGACTTAATTGACAGATTCAGTAAAGTATCTGGATACAAGGTGAATACCCAAAAATCAATAGCCTTTCTATACACAAATAACAGACAGACAGAAAGAGAAATAAGGGAAAAAATTCCTTTTACAATAGCATCCAAAAAAATGAAGTATCTAGGAATCAATCTAACAAAAGAAACAAAAGATCTCTACACTGAAAACTACAGCACTCTGAAAAAAGAAATCGAAGAGGATATAAAAAAATGGAAAGATATCCCCTGCTCCTGGGTAGGAAGAATCAACATAGTGAAAATGGCCATACTACCGAAACTGCTATATACATTCAATGCAATGCCAATTGAAATTCCAACACTATATTTCACAGAACTAGAAAAAAGAATCCAAAAATTCATTTGGAACCACAAGAGACCTAGAATAGCAAAAGCCATTATAGGCAACAGTCACATGGCACCAGGTGTAACAATTCCCAATTTGAAACTATACTACAAAGCCACTGTGATAAAATCAGCATGGTACTGGCAAAGAAATAGGCCTGAGGATCAATGGAACAGACTGGAAGACACAAAAACAAATGCAGATGTACTCAGCTACCTCATCTTCGACAAAGGAGCTCACCATCCTCAGTGGAGGAAAGATAGCCTCTTTAATAAATGGTGTTGGAAAAACTGGATATCAACCTGCCACAGATTAAAATTAGACCCTTATCTTTCGCCATGCACTAAATTAAAATCCAAATGGATTAAAGATCTAAATATTAAAACAGAAACATTAAACTTGCTGGAAAGTAAGTTAGGCAGAACTCTGGAAGACATTGGTATAGGAAAAGACTTTATGAACAAATCCTCAGTAGCACGGGAACTAGCAGAAAGAATCAACAACTGGGATCTCATCTTACTAAAAAGCTTCTGTACTTCAAAAGAAACCATTAGCAGAACTAAGAGACAATCTACAATGTGGGAAAAAATTTTTACCAGCTGTACCTCAGACAAAGGACTATTATCAAGGATATATAAAGAACTCAAAACAATCAGTCCCCCCAAATATAAAGACCCGATTCAAAAATGGGCATCCAAAATGAACAGACATTTCTCAGACAAAGAAGTAAAAGCAGCAAGAAAATATTTGAAAAAATGTTCCACATCACTGGTCATTCGAGAGATGCAGATGAAAACAACACTGAGATTCCACCTCACCCCACAAAGAATGGCTGCTATCAAGAAATCACACAATAACAAATGTTGGCGGGGTTGTGGGGAGAAAGGAACCCTTCTCCATTGTTGGTGGGAGTGCAGAATGGTTCAACCACTATGGAAATCAATATGGAGATACCTCAAAGAGCTTGGACTGGAGGTTCCATTTGACCCAGCCATCCCTCTGCTGGGTATCTTTCCAAGAGAACTAAAAGAATCATATCACAGAGAAGTATGTGTACCCATGTTTACAGCAGCACAGTTTGTAATAGCTAAATCTTGGAAACAGCCTATTTGCCCAATCTGTTGGAAACTGGATAAAGAAGTTGTGGTTTTTCTATAAAATGGAATATTACTCAGCCATAAAGAACGAGAAAATAGATTCATTCATAGGAAAATGGATACATATTGAAGATATACTCCTAAGTGAAATAAATAAGTCACACATGAGTAAATACCGAATAGTTTCCCTGGTATGAATAATCTGCAACAATGCATAAGATTCTAATAAGATTACTGACATTTAGAAATGGGAAGAAAGGAGCTAAAGGTGTAGGGAAGGTGGGATGGGTAGGGGAAGAGTAAAAAGCGAAAAGAAAAAAATGTGAGATAATGAAAAGATGGAATAAAGTGGTTGTAGATGGGGAGGGGAGGAGAGGGTGAAGGGAGGGCAGGGTAAGAGGAAAAAATGAGAATCAAGACTTGTCATGTAGAGGTACAAGATCCCAACAATGAATGTAACTGTACTGTATCACTAAAATGTACCAATAAACTCAATTAAAGCTGAAAAAAAAAATGAAAGTCATCCTTTTTGATAATTAAGAGTCAAACTGATGGAGGACTAAATATGCCTCTCAATATCATTTTCATGATTATATACACAAAAGAAAGTAATGTAATGGTTATTCCATTAGTCAATGTTTTTTACCAATAAAGTATCAACCTTATCACTTAGGAATAACTGAGAGGCACAACAGGCATGTGAGCAAAAATTAAAAATAAGTAAGTAATGATAAGTAAAATCATGAAAATTAAGTATTTCAGCAATCCTGGATTTGTGAAATACTTAAGATTTTTGACATTAATACGTATTGTAAGAAAAAGATGCTACATTTTATTTACATTTTTCAAAATGCCTCAACAGATAAATGCCAATTTGGGGCAAGAAGATGCTTTACACACTAGAAAATCTAATATCCGTATGCCCTAGTAGGGACAGCTTTGTGCCTAGGACTTTGCAGCCCTACATTCTGACATTTCCTACTTGCCACTGTCTTACTCATGTCCTCTCATGCTCTACTACATGCAGATTCCACCCTTCCCCACAGCATCTAAAACTCAAACAAGTTCCTCAATTATGGTTCCTCTTTTCTTTTAGTCTAGCAGAACCAGAATGCCTAATCAAGGTAAGCTCTGCATAAAAATTTTAAAGCAAGGTCTAATATGGGCTACAGGCTTCCTTGAAGATTTTTTAAATTTAAGAAACTACAATAAAATTTCCAACCCAAGTTTGCAAAGATAAGAATATGACCTTGAGGATATCACTTAACTGAAAACATCAAGATCAGATAGGCAAGACAAAATAATGCCAGTGTTCTTCAATTATACAAGTTTGGAAGCATAAAACCAGAACGAAATATACAAAAGAGGCTGTTTGTTAAACTATCTTTTTTTTTTTTTTTTCCTTTGGTACTGGGGATCAAACTTGGGTCCCTGTGCTTGCGAGATTTAAACTATCTCTGATCTAAAAAATACTAGCAAAACTTTATCTTTTACTATGGTAGGATGCTTTACAAAGTTGGGGTCACCACCATCTGATGCACCTTTTGGTTCCCAATGTAATGGCACTGAAAGGTTGAGGGGCCTGTAAGAAGGAAGTGACTGGGTCAGGACTATCCTTCTGAAAAGATTAATGCTGGCTCCCTGGAGTGATGGATTAATTCTCATAGAAGTAGATTAGTTATCTGGATAATGAGATGTTATACAATAGGAGATCGAACTTGGGACCTTGTGCTAGCGAGGAAGGCAGCGGAACCACTAAGCTAAATCCCCGGCTTTCTCATGTCTTTATAAACTAATCAGTCTTGGGTGTTTTGTCATGGCAATATAAAATGGACTAGGATAAAGTGTGAGTTATTAGGAACTAGAAAGCAAGTAAGACTTGGAACTTGAGATAAACATCCCAACTTCCTGGGAACATATAAAAAACATTATCTAAACAGACCCTTATAAAGCCAAAGGTTTTACCATTTTATTTATTAGTTTATTAATTATTTACTTAAAGACACTTACTGGAGCTCCACAGGCAAAGAAAAACTCCAAACAAAACTAAAGAATATATATAGAATACTGTGTCCAAAAGTTGTATGTATGGAGGGTGGGGTGCCTTAACAGTTCAATGATTATGTTTCAGGTAATAATTTGAAGTCAGAAGTTTTACCAAAGTAATTCTTTGATTTTTAAAAAATTTTCTTGTAAAATGTGATTGGTTATATTACATGATCCCAACTTTCCCTTGGCTACCTGGGGCAAATTTGACTCCAAACCACCAGGTCCATGGCATGATGGTATGATGGAAGACATGAAGGAAAGTCACTTGGCTGTTCTTCTTACGCAGAACAAAAAAGATCTGAAATAGTGTAAAGAAAATCAAGTTTATAAAAATCATGCAACAACTTACTTTTCATTACAAAATAATGGCAAAGAACAAACCAATTTGCACTATGATTTACTTTAAAAGCATTGCTTTACAGAATGCTTTCTTATAAAAGTAGCTGATTTTCCAAGGGGCAGCTCAAAAGCTTAGAAGTATGAAAGAACACAGGTATTATATCTAATCATGAAAAAGCCAATAAGAAAGTGAAAATAAATTGTATGCAGATTTAAAAATAAAAAAATATAAAGTGAAGAATTTGACAGAAAATTATTACACTTGATCTTAGCCAAAAGGCCAAGGAAGCGATGACAGAAAATTATTGAAAGAAATAGTAATGGTTAAATTTTTTTAAATATAAAAAATAATGAATTTTGAAGTGTATGGGAAAGAGGAAGACTAATTTTTAGGGCTAAATTTTCTACAATGCTTTCTACTATGCCCTCTCAATTTGAATAAGGGTTAGGTAAGCCAAAAGAGAACTTGAAACACATCAAAACATTAGCACTTTATTAAAGTAAGAAGAGAAAAGTTTTTGAGATGTTAATTTGGAAACTGCAATAAAAAAAAAAAAAGCAAAGCTGTGTAAGAATGAGCAGGGCAAGAAAACTACCACTCATATTGAACATTCCCTGTAGTTTATAGAAACCCTATACATAAAAGTAGAATTGGGGGATGGGGATATTAAAAAATTCCAAAGCGAAATTCAGAATACCAGTGCCAAAGTTTGACTTTTAAATTCAGGACTAACAGCACAACACAAAGAAAAGTACTACTGTAATGGAGTATTTGAGAAATGTAGTTCAGGAAAGGACAAAGGGGCAGCAACAGTGTTCTTATGGAAGCTGGAACTGAGAACATGCAAAGCAGTCAATGAGACCAAAATGCATTTGTTTATGCACATGGAAGAACACAGCCTGGGGCAGCGAATCCCTAAGGATGCAATGTGGTCCGGGTCCCAGTCCTAGCAGCAGTCCTCTGAGTAAGTCACTTAGTTTCCTAGCTTTAGTTTTTCTCAGAGAGAGCTCTAGTCCGACTTAATGGTTCTCTGCCCCATTCCATATTACAATAACCAAGAAACTTCTAAAAATAATCATTCCTGGTCTCTACTCCAGATCATTTGATACCAAATCACTGGAGACGGAGCCCACATGTGCCTATTTTGTTCTCAATACTACTATTTTCATTACACGAAGAGATGCTAGACAATTAGCGGGGGGGGGGGGGGGC